ACGCTGCATTGGAGAGTTTTCGAGAGCTTTCCTCCTATGTGTGGGAGTGCCTCGTTGGATGAATAATGGCGGCAGCGGAGCTTGAGAGTACTGTGGCCTATTCATCACAAGGGTTGGATATAAACTACCGTGCATGTGGGCAAACTTTCCCATAGTCCTCTGCTTTCTGCATATCATCTAAATGGTAAAAATATTTGGCTTTCTTAACATCATAGTTTCCAGCGGCATATTCTTTCTCTGGCTTCAAAGCAGCCGCCAACATAAATCAGCAATTGTTATAACTGTTCTACTTGCAGATAAACAAAAACAAGAAAGCCAAGATTTCAGTGAGCTTATGTATGAATTTAATATTAAATCACAGTTGAGGAATATTTTGGAATTGATCTGATTACTTTTTAAATTGTACTCTTTTCATCTTTTCATATAACTCATTTAACAATAAATGATTGTTTTAGTTTTTTAAACCCCAACCCCAACATATAGATGGTTCTGATGTTCTTTTAATTAAAAAAAAAAAAGATGATCCTGATGGCAAAAGCGTATTTGAGAGAGTACATGGGGCTCGGGGAGGATTCTGGCTGGCTACTATGGAGAAAGAGTATTTGTTCATTTAATATGGTTTAGTGGCTATTTAAGATTCATATTGCATCCTTTTTGCTCTGGTATCACTCCATTTTTGAGGGTATGAGAAATTAAACAGGGTATACCAAGAGTCAGGCACCACAGACAACATATTACATAAATTACGTTAAATATTTGATTTGGAAAAGGGGACGCGGTGGCACAGCGGCTTAATGACGCTGAAAGTTGCCGGCCAGAAATGGTCGACACTTTAGCGGTTTGAGCCTAGCTCCGCACAGCAGAGCGAGCTCCTGCTTCCTCCCCAGGTCCTGCCAACCCAGCAGCTCGAAAACTTACGTGAGTAGATAAATGGGTACTCTCACCCCGGTGGGAGGAAAAATACTGGCAGCGCTTAGATGCCGGGAACGCGGAAGCTGCGCACGCCCAAAAAAGGCGCGAAGCAATGGAAACCCCGCCTCTTGCGCTCGCCAGCTGGGCTCTGCTCTAGGAAGGACGCAATGGCAAACCACTTCCGAATCACCTTGCCTTGAAAACTGCAGGGACTCGTCCAGGCAGTCACCGCAGAATCAGTAACGATTGAGTGTGGATTTAAAAAAAAAATTGATTTGGTTGCCATTTTCTTTTAAATTCTTCCTTATTTATTTGATGTATGACCTTTGAACATTTCGGAGTACCTTAATATTTTCTCTGAAAAAAATAAAACATATTGTGATTGGCCTATGGGGCCTGATTTTGGTGCACCCTATATATAATCAAGCTTGTGAAGCTTTGTATAGAGTGTTTCTGTATTTCAGAGTCATTAATTTCTTAAGCTCTCTTTGGAGGAAAAGATTGTCTGTTGAAATAATCATCAGATCATTGCATGTTCCCAATAAATCATTCCTTTTGTTAAAACTTACAATTCCTGCTAGTTGAGAGACAATTTTTATTTTCAATGGGTGGTAAAGAAGCAGAGTACCTTGAGATGTATCCTGAAGAGATCATTGTTACCACCTAAAGAGGAATCTACACCATGTTGGACTTGTAACAGGAGTGTGAACAAATGGTAGTTATTCTTAGTTCTGTATCATGTTCAATGCAAATTAGTAGATTTTAAGCCCATTAATTCTGTATGTTTAGTGGAAATATCAGGTATTTTCTTTTATCAAGAATAAGGGAGTATAATTTAATAGCACTGTTGTCCATTGTAAACAGACCATTGCTCTGTATTGTATTTCTGGCTAAACAGTATTGTTGCTAGTGTGCCACTCAGTGTTTCTGCTTGCATCTAAGTTTTTATTTATTTATTTTATTTTTATTTATTTAATGTATTTATTTTTCCATAAGTAAATAGGTTAATGATATTGGATAGTGGAGAAGATGTAGAGAGAGTGGGAAGGAAAAAGCAGAGAGACAGCAACTACTTTGAGGGTAGGGTTTAGTTATAATAATGACCAATTCAGTTATCTTACTTTTTACTTAAAGGTTACATAAAAGCTAGATTAAAAATTTTAAAAGTATGTAGGATTTTGCAGTTAAAATTCTGATGCTTTTAAGTTTATAGCTTTCTATTGGATCTAAACCTAATCTTGTTTAGAGTATTCTTTCCTCCATGTCAGGATATATACTAGGGTTGCTGGAATTTTCCAGCATCTTCCATTTGCCCAAATCCTGTTTGCATGTGAAAACAAAGCAAAACAAATTACTTCCAATAAAAGCAGCAATATGCAGTTTCACATATTGAACAGGAAGACCCCATGTACAAACTTCAGTAAGCAGTTACAGCAGAGTAGTTAATACAGTTAATTTGTCTGGATACTTTTTTCAACTATTTTTTTTTAATTGGGTCTTAAATTATGGGCTGAAGTTTTGAACTTTTATGGTAATTAACTTCTTAACTGACATCATAAATTGCCCTAATGGAGATACAGGAAGGATTGTTTTGGTGTTGCAATTAAAATGTTGAACCAGTACCTGGGTCTGGGGTTACATGGTCTAGCGGTGAAGGCTCCAGGCTAGAAACCAGGAGACGGTGAGTTCTAATGCCGCCTTAGGAATGAAAGCCGGCTGGGTGACTTTGGGACGGTCACTCTCTCTGAGCCCATGATGCCAGGGTTGGGCAACAAGGCGGCCAGTCAATTCCTATTGCAGCCAAATGGATCAATATTTGGTTGATCTGGAGGAAAAAAAGTGGACCCTGCACCTGCTGGAAAAACGCTAGGAAGAAAAAAATATAGCTTAGTAGCTTGTTTTAGGATATGTTAAGTTGCTTTTAAAGACAATTATTAGGAAAAAATTGTAAAAATCCTGTGAACTTTTTGAAGGAAGATTCAGACATAAATATGGTAGTCAAGGATGAAGGTTGCTTTTGCCATCCTAAAAGTTCTGTGAAGTGTACACAATGCTGTCTATACAAACAGTGTTAGTAAAATGTATTACTTTACTTGCTTTGTTTCATCTCTGTATCACATGCAGCCTCTTTCTGTTTAGAATTGCAAAAGATCCCTGTGGCAGCTAACTGAAATAGAAGTGGTAATATTAGAAAGGCATTTTTCTTTTCAGGAGAGCACTTTTTAAAAAAACCAGACTCTTTGCTTTTTATTTCAGCATTCCCTCTCCATCTGTTCCTTACTTTACCCTGAGCCCTGAAAGTTCATCCAGCACCTGTCCCTTAAATGTATCCTCCTTTCTCATATATTCCAGTTTAGATCGCTTGACATTATTGATAACTTTGTTTTGGTGACTGCTGGTGCGTTTCTTACTTTCTGGAGAGTGCATTGAAATGGAACCTTTCCTAATTGTTCTTCTGCTGTTCTTCTGGATTGGCTTGGTTTGCCTGGCACCCCATTGGCTCATCGTTTTTTCAAATTCAGCAGAGATATAGAAAGTACTAAGGCATTCCCATAAGCTATTTGGTCCCCCCCTCCCCTGGCAATTTACAGTTTAAAAAC